TAATACAAATTTTGAAGATGAGGAATTCCTTTGTAGTTCTATGAAATGTTATATTTTATTCTCAACCCGAAGTATATAATATTTGTTAAAACAAAGCATCCCTCCATACGAGAGGGATATGTGTTCCTCACCCTGTTCTCACAAAAAATTTTTATTGTGAGAAATTTTATTTATTCAACATTTTTTGACTGTAGTCATTTGAATTGTTTTATAGATCAACCTTTTATATATGGTGTGTTGTTTTAGTATTGCATTTACTTAGACAGGTTTTTTTATCTCTAAAACTATAATCTTATTCAGAATTCTCTGTTTTAACTATTCTATTGTGATATTATGCACAGAATGTAAAAAAAATTAAATAATTTGTCACCTTTGTGTATGGATCCACAGTATTTTTGCCTTCTAAAAACGTGGTCTCATTTAGCAATTTTCTTCAACCCTATTTTCAGAATCTTTTGAAAGATAAGTCATAGATTGTTGGGGATATCTGAAATGGTCTATCAATATTTTAAAGATAGTGCATACGAGATAAAAGATGTTTACAACTCTTTTTAAAAAAATCTTTAAAAATGAAAGCTTGAATTCTTTCACATCTAAATATATAATCTTAAAATCAGTGAAATACAGATATCTTTAAAAATGTGACTTTAGTGTATTGCCCTAAGCACTCATTAATTAGCACGGTAGTAATGAATGAGTAGAGAATATAGGACTAACATAGTAAAATTAGTAGCAGATTGGGATTTAGGAGCTTAGGTTGTGCTTCTGGCTTTGCCACTAACTAGCTTTGTTTCTTTGGCCAAGTCATTTCCCCTTTTTAAGCCTGTTTCCTCATCTATGAAATGACAAACTTGGACTCTCAGGTCCTTTCTTCAGCTCTAACATTTTGTGTTGCTTTTGTAATGGCTGTTTCTCTAAAATTCCGTGGTACAAGAGATTCTCTTGATTATTCCTTTTTAAGAAACTCAGTGTTTTGAATAATCGATTTTTCTACCAGCCAAGAGGTGGTTTACTTTCTTTTCTTGTTTGAGTGCTGAAACAAGAGGCATTACTGATTTCCTTTCTAGGTAGGATCAGAATTACTAAAGGCTTTCTTGGCTCGCTCGCTCTCTGTGTGATTGCTCATTTGTCTTTGCATTGTTGGCCTCATTCCTTATTTTATTTTTGCTTTATTTTAGTAGCTGATGGTGCAAGGATAATAAGGCATTATCTTATCTTGGTGTTCATTATGTGATTTAGAAGACTTAGCTTGTTTGAGTTTGGGGTTTTATTATTTATTCTTTCATGCTACCAGTTCGATCATTGTTTGTGGGTTTTTACCCTCCTTTCCATATTGTTTTGCCTTCTTCCCCTCTCGTTTCCCTCCCTTTCAGGAAAATGGAGAAGTGGCTCCATTACTTCTGGCTCTGCCAGGTTTTCTGCCACAAGTGTGGCACAACTAGTGCCTCTGATGCTTCTGATAGAGTTGTGACTGCTTTGGATGCTATATCTGCCCCCAAGATGTAATGTCGAGCATTGAGATTCTAGGGGCAGTACCTTGTTGCCTGGATGATTTTCTCAGAAACATCCTGGAAAACCTCAAGAAAGGAAGCTTCAGAGCAAACAGAATCAACTAGGGATCATGACTATACATCCGTCACCTGCATTCTAGCACGGGTCCAGTTGAGACCTCCAAAATGATGCTTTCCCAGCCTGAGCTGGTTCTCAGGTGATGATGTCCTTGAAGTTTCTGTGGCCCGTGACTCAAGATTTAAGGTAGTGGAGTTTCCCTTAAAGAATCTCACTGCAGGCTTTGTAGATGAGACACATCTCACCTCAACATGTTTGAATACTCAGGTTGAAGGTCACCTTCAGCCCTTAGGTCCTTCAAATTAAGTTCTAACTTTGAGTTGTAGGTTATGTGATGGGCTAGTTGTATGATATATAAAGTCTTTGACCTATTGGACTAGAGCCATCAGCCATAATTTATGCAAAATAATTTTATTATTCTTTTTAGGGCTTAATGTATATGGCTATTCATTAGGCTTTCCTTTGCTCAAAAGGGCAAATCTAAAACATCTTAGTGAGGTAAAGCTTAGGGAATCTCCATTACTCTGTATAACTTTCAGTTTGGAGAAAAATGAGGATTCTCTGAAGTTTGTAAATTTTTTTGCTTCTGAAGTGTCCTTGATTGTTCTGCATATTATGACTTTATTGAAGGTTGTTGATTAATCAAGTAATTCTTCAGTGTGTGGATCTCATTTCATTTTCTATGATTTATTGTGTGATTCTTCAGTTGGTATAAAATCTTACTATCTTACGTATTTCATATTTCTTAGTTTCTTCATGACAACTGAGAATTTTAGTATTTGTAAGTTTACATGTTTTGACTTTTCATTTAGTAGACTTCTTAGGAATCTAGAGTTTGAAAGAAGAAATATGTGGTTTCCTAAAATTAACAACCAAGTCTTTATAGATTATATGGAGTTTATGACATTTTTTTAAACTTGTAAATGCAAACTAAAATCAGGTGATTGAACTAACCTTTAGAGTAACTAAATTAATAATTATATTCTTGTTTGCTCTTATACCACTCAAATGGTGATATAAGATCTTGTAACTGCATGTAAACTGTTTTTCTATTTATAACCTAGTATCCAGTGCTTCATATTATATGTACACACACGTGCACATACACTTATTCATTCCAAATCTGTGGTTTTACTCAAATTGGCTTGAAAAAGTCTTTCCTTGTTCATGGGAAATGATGATGTGGTATGTATAAAAGATAATTATAGAGAGTTTTTCCAGAAGGATGCTTTAATTAATTTAAAGAGCCACCCTTTATTTTGAAACTGTTTCCTAATTCGTGGAGGATATGTCTGTACTTTACCTTATAAAATGATGAAATAAATGATATTTGGGTTTAATTTTTTTTCTTGGCGAAATGTAAGTTGTCCCCATTTTAAAAACCTTTACTGTGTACAGTCCAAACCATGTACAGTTAGCAAACCACTGGTGTAGAAATTTAAAGTTAGTCTCTCAGTTGTGTCCAACTCTCTGTGACCCCATGGACTGTAGCCCACCAGGCTCCTTGGTCCAAGGGATTTTCCAATCAAGAATAATGAAGTGGGTTGCCATTCCCCTCTGCAGGGAATCTTCCCAACCCAGGGGTTGAACCCAGGTCTCCTGTGTTGCAGATGGATTCTTTGCCATCTGAGCTACCAGTGCAACTCCAGTAGGATTTAAATTGGAATGATCTAATCACCATTTCATTAAAATGCAAATCAAGTTAGAAATCCTCAGAAAAGCTAATTTATCTGCGGTTTCCTCTTGCAATTTGTAGTTCTCTCTGTTGTCTAAATGTTCCTTATCTATCTGTTTAGGAAGGAAGGACTAAAGAGCATATCAGCATTTATGAAAGTGATTAGCTATTTTGTTTGCTTTAGTCTGTCTAGGTGCCTTTGCTATATATCTTTGAATATAAATTGCAATGAGCAATCTATCTTTCAAATAAAATTAAGAAAACATTAACATACATTAACACCTCCTACCATTGAATGAATTCTTTTTTTTTTTCACTTATTTTTATTAGTTGGAGTTTAATTACTTTACAATATTGTAGTGGTTTTTGCCATACATTGACATGAATCAGCCATGGATTTACGTGTGTTCCCCATCCTGAACCCCCCTCTCACCTCCCTCCCCATCCCATCCCTCTGGATCTTCCCAGTGCACCAGCCCTGAGTGCTTGTCTCACGCATCCAACCTGGGCTGACGATCTGTTTCACACTTGATAATATACATGTTTCAATGCTATTCTCTCAGAACATCCCACCCTCGCCTTCTCCCAGAGTCCAAAAGTCTGTTCTGTACATCTGTGTCTCTGAATGAATTCTTGATTTAATGTGAGTTCATGTTAATAAATAAAAATAATTTCAAATCTAAAAATAAAAAAAATCTCCTAATTTCAGCTCCAAGATTTTGACTGAGCTAGAGTCATTCATGATTACAGAGTAGATGTTTATCCACATAGAAGCTAGTTCAGGGAAAACCAAGGATCATGTCAACTTTTGAGCCTTTTTATAAGGTATCCCTTTGTTATAGTGATTTATGAATTTATATCTAAAGGTGCAAATTAGCTCATATTACACAAAAATTGCTTTTATCTTACACTTTTTGATAACATGAAAATTTATTAGGAATATATTTTAATTTAACATAAGATGGTATTAAATATTTTCTCATGCCTTGAGCAGTTTATTTTTTCATTGGCAAATTGGTCTTTGAGGAGCATCTGGAAAAATTTTGGTATGCTTTAGGCTAATGCATTATCTACTTTTTTGGAAAGTAAAAACTTTTTGATAGTAATTTGTTTTCTTTATGTACATAGTAAATAGCACTCTTGCCTCTTTTCTGCCCTAGTTTGAATATTATTAGGGATTTTTTATTGCTTTAGTATTTTAATATATGTTGTATACTTTCATTTGATTAGAAGAATTTATGCACTACATTGAAATTTAAGAGCCAAAAATGTTATTCACTAGTTTGAGGCACTGTTTCACAATAGTGGTTTATTACACACTGATTTTCTAAGAATATGTTTTACTGTTGAATAAATCCTTTCATGTGGAGTTTTGTGTTGAAATGCCATTTGTTTGAATGAACTGATTTACTATTGTGGGCCTGTCTGATACTGTAGTTGTCAGATGGTGGCAGCAGAGCAAGTATAGGATTGGAAGGATATCCAGCATGAAGTTGCAATTGGTGAAAATAGTAGAAACATCCCTGAGATTTTTCAGTATATTGTGAAATTGAACAGAACTGGGAGAAAATCAGTGCTAAGAGCATTTTCAAAAGTTTTCATTGGTACTTTAAATTAAAATAGACTTTGATAGACTTATATAATAAAAATCTTTTGGCACAATTATTTCTATTTTGATACATATAATTCCATTTGTTTTTAATTTGTAATACTTCACCACCAAATATATAGTTTTTATTGTCTTTTTACTCTCGAGAATTGCCAAGAAGATGCTTTTAGAAGAAATTAAAGCCAATCTTTCCTCCGATGAGGATGGATCTTCAGATGAGTCAGAAGAAGGGAAGAAAAGAACTGGAAAACACAATGAAGAAAACCTTGGAGATGAGGGTGAGTTCCCCAGAGAGAAGTATGAAGTGAAGTGAAGTGAAGTGGTAGTTGCAGTCTTGTCCAATTCTTTGTGACCCCGTGGACTGTAGCCTGCCAGGCTCCTCTGTCCATGGGATTCTCCAGGCAAGAATACTGGAGGGGGTTGCCATTTCCTTCTCCAGGGTCTTCCCAATCCAGTGATTGAACCCAGGTCTCCAGCACTGCAGGCAGATTCTTTGCTATCTGAGCCACCAGGGAAGCCAGAGAGAAGTATAGGATGTCATAATTTGGTTGTTTGACCAGTTCAGTCTTTGAAGACTGTCTAACCATGAAATCTCTTAATATACATGTTTGAAGTTTATTAAAATGTTTAAAACGTTGCTACCATTAATCCTTTTGAATATCTGGTAATAGCTGTGCAGATTTTGTCAGTCACTGCCAATAAACAGATGGTTTGCAAAGCAACATGTTTTTTATGTTTTAAAAATCTATATATGTATAATGGTGATATTTAATTACTACTTAATGATTGTAATAGATCAAGTGTAATGTATGAGATTGCTTGGTATCAACAATGGAACAAGGTAAGTATACAGCTCTGATCAGTTCCATAAGTCATGATAATTATCTACAAACAAAATACATAGTTGTACAGCATTTTAAAGGAAAAAAAGCTGAAGGTTTTAGTGATTTGTTTTCTCCATTTAGAAGTAAAAAATCAAGCCAATTCTGAATCAGATTCAGATTCTGAAGAATCTAAGAAGCCAAGATACAGACATAGGCTTTTGAGACATAAGCTGACTCTGAGTGATGGAGAATCTGGAGAAGAAAAAAAGATGAAGCCTAAAGAGCACAAAGAAGCCAAAGGCAGAAATAGAAGGAAAGGTAAGACATTTTAATTCTGATGGTGAACAACATACTGGTTCATACTGGTAAAGAGCATATCTGCTCCAATGATTGACCACCTATATTAGGTGAGTGTCTGCACACTGACAACAGCTATTCTGAGAGTGAAATAAAGAATTTAGAGTGGGAAGGTAACCCAGAAACTTGAGAGATGACAAAGAATATTTTTGACCTTTAGTAGTCATATACATTTAGATTAAAAAGATAAATATGACAATAAATAAAACATGCATTAAGGTCATGTGGAAGATATAAGACTGCCTGTAACTACAGGAAGAAATAATGCTTTCCTGAGGAAAGATAGAAAATATAGTTAATTTGGATAGATTTATGCAAGCTTATGTGTAAAACTTATATGTAGCCAGATTAAATTTTTATTACATTAAATTATGTGTCTTTCTGTACTAAGTCAGTTACATGTTTCCATCATGGTAAACATTGAGGATATAAAATAAATGAAGAAATCACTGTTTTATATGATAGTTTTCAACCTGGCTACACATGTAGATCACTTGGGGGATTTAAAAATATGCCTTCCTATGGCAGGCCTCCACCTCAAGCCAATTGAAGCATAATTGGTGGTGGTGGGAACCTAGGTATCCATGTGTATTAAAAGCATCTCTGAAATGATTTTGATATGTAGCCAGTTTTGGCAGTCACAGGTTTAATAAGAATTATTGACATTAGTGTTAATAAGAACTTGTAGTACCATAAGGGGTTGTCTTGTAAGGTATGGCATAAAGAGGAATTCTTTAGCTTTTTGGGGGGTTGGGGTTATCAACAGAGATGACTTGACAAAGATGGAGAGTTTCATCCAGCAGATAAAGTTCTAAATGGGGAGAAGGTAGATTTGTTGTTAAAATTTATGATATAAGCAGGGGAAAAGTTTTAAAAACCTCTGCAAATTGTTTAGCACATGGTGGAGGGGATGCAATTATTGTGATATAGCTGGAGTATAGAAGGGAGTAAGGAAAGGAACAGCAGGAAATTAGGCTGGACCAATAAGACAGAGATCAGATACTGTAGATCTTTGTAAGCCTGTTCCTCAAATTGGGGTACTTGACAGTACTCCTCATGGGTACATGAGGCTGTAGAGTAAATATGGTACATCTCTTTGGTGTGTTCATTTTACTTGAGAGTTGGTGGAGAACATTCTTATATTAAATAATATATATTGAGCAATTAAATGTGAAATTTTCCTGAGAATTTGGCTAACAAGAAGTTCAAAGAAAGTTTTTTCTTCTTTGGGACAGACTTTGAAGAATTTATTACCCAGTTCCTGTCAGGCAGATTAACTCTTTGTGCCACCAGGAATAAGAAAGCATTTTTGGAAATATCTGAGAAGTACATTGGCTTTATAGAGTGGAGAGCCATTGAAAAGTTAAAAAATTTTTTTTTATTTTAAAAATTATTTTCATATCATAGCTATCTGAGACATAATTTAAAAATCACACAGTTTACCTGCTTACAGTGTACAGTTTGTTTTTTAGTATATTCACAGAGAGGTGCCACTATTTAAAAAGCTATTTAAGGTGTGTGTGTGTGTGTGTGTGTGTGTGTGTGTGTGTGTGTATATAAATAAAAGCATGTATTTCATAAGTGGACAGCTTTTAGAAAAATTATTTATTTATTTGGTTGCACTGGGTCTTAGTTGTGGCAAGCAGAGTTTTTTACTGGTTGCAGCATTTGAGTTCTTAGTTGTGCCTTGTGGGATCTAGTACCCTGATCAGGGATAAAACCCAGGCCTCCTGCATTGGGAGCATGGAGTCTTAGCCACTGGACCATCAGGGAAGTCTCTGTAAGTGGAAATCTAGATGAACATGTTTGGCACCTAGATAAAGGCACAAAACATTGATTAGCAGCATTGAAGATTCATAACTTTAGTACAACCACTCACTATTCCATTGAAAGATTTCAACTAAGGATGTAATATGGTCAGATTCAGTTCAGTTCAGTTAAGTCGCTCAGTCATGTCCGACTCTTTGCAACCCCATGAATTGCAGCACACCAGGCCTCCCTGTCCATCACCAACTGCCGGAATTTACTCAAACTCATGCCCATCGAGTCGGTGATGCCATCCAACTCTCTCATCCTCTGTCATCCCCTTCTCCTCCTGCCTTCAGTCTTTCCCAGCATCAGGGTCTTTTCAAATGCATCAGGTCTTTGACAGGTGGCCTAAGTATTGGAGTTTCAGCTTCAGCATCAGTCCTTCCATTGAATATTCAGAACTGATTTCCTTTAAGATGTACTGGTTTGATCTCCTTGCAGTCCAAGGGACTCTCAAGAGTCTTCTGCAACATCACAGGTCAAAAGCATCAATACTTAGGTGCTCAGCTTTCTTTATAGTCCAACTCTCACATCCATACATGACTACTGGAAAAACCAAAGCTTTGACTAGATCGACCTTTGCTGGCAAAGTAATGTCTCTGCTTTTTAATATGCTGTCTAGGTTGGTCATAGCTTCTCTTCCAAGGAGCAAGCTTCTTTTAAATTCATGGCTACAGTCACCATCTGCAGTGACTTTGCAGCCCATAAAAATCAAGTCTGTCACTGTTTCTACTGTTTCCCCATCTANTCAATCCTGGGTTTTCACTGGAAGGTCTGATGCTGAAGCTGAAACTCCAATACTTTGGCTACCTGATGTGAAGGGCTGATTCACTGGAAAAGACCCTGATGCTGGGAAAGATTGAGGGCAGGAGGAGAAGGGGATGACAGAGGATGAGATGGTTGGATGGCATCACTGACTCGATGGACCTGAGTTTGAGCAAGCTATGGGAGTTGGTGATGGATAGGGAAGCCTGGCATGCTGCAGTCCATGGAGTTGCAAAGAGTCGGACATGACTGAGTGGCTGAACTGACCTGAAGGCTTTGAACCTATTTGGAGGATATTGCCATAGTTGATGTCAAGTTCAGTTGTCGTAGTATATGTATAATAATGAGATTACCCAGCAGAGCTGTAATGTTGTTCAAAAAGAAGGCTAGGGGAAAGAATCTTGGAATCCTGAGCATTTAAAGGGCCATGGGAAAGTAGCTATCCATTAAAGAAGATGAGGAAGGTACCCCTTCCCCCCACACACATATACTTAATATGCCTTGGACATTTTCATGTAAACAAATAAATAATAGTACCTCATTTTGTGAATGCATTTTTCATAAATTTTTTTGCAACATGACTGCAAGCTGGTCTTTCAGATTCTATAAAGGAACTGAGTGATTTAACATATTAGGAAACAGCATGATTTCCTGTGCATCTTCAAAAGGAGAAATACTAATTTTGCCTTTGAGGCTTATTAGCTCAGTAATACAGAGCCGTTTACTATGCCAAATAGGACTTCCCAGGTGGCTCAGTGGTAAAGAACCCATCTGCCAAGCAGGAGACATGGGCTTGATCCCTGGGTTGGGAACATTCCCTGGAGAAGGAAATGGCAACCCACTCTAATATTCTTGCCTGGGAAATCCCATGGATGAAAGAGCCTGGTGGGTTACAGTCCATGGGTTTTCAAAGAGTAAGACACGACTTAGCAACTAAACAGTAGTGTTGGCAGCAGCTGTGGGCCAAATACATTTGAAATGTTTTATTGAAACCTAAGTTTTCTGTGACCTGTGTTTCCACTGTCCTTTTCTGTGGGTAACTTATAATCCAACTATTTTTTTGGTCTGTTTGTGTAGAAGGATGTAAACTAAAATTCCATCTTATTTATGTTTCTAATAAAGACTAATGTAATAGTGACTGATACTACATTTGGAATCACACCATTGTCCAAGTTTTGCAAACTCTTGTGTCTCTGTATTGTCTGGAAACTTATGATGGGCAATAGGGAAAAATCAGAAGCTAATAGCTTAATTATTAAATCAAGTGTAGCATGTCAACATTTTCACCTAAATTTGAAAAAGGTTGTAAAAGTTATTTTGGTGATAATTTCAAAAATGCAGTGATTGCCATTATAGTAGATTATATTAGGTTCATGTTATTTTTCTCATGTATTTAAATGATATTCAATTATGTAGGATAGTGCCCTTATACTTAAGGGTGAAGTGTCATGATATCAGCACTTAAAGGGTTCAGGGCAAAAAAGGATGTGCATATATTTAGACAGAAATAAAGCAAATGTGGTAAAGCAAATCCACTTTAAGTGGATTTAAGAGTAGGGATACAGGTGTTCATTTGGCGATTCTTTCAAATTTTTGGTAGGTGTGAAAATTTTCAAAATAACATTTGATGAAAAATTAATACTAGGCTTAAAATTGTATTTAATCACAGAATTTGTGTGTGCATGTGGACATCTTGTTCTCCCAAATTCCCAGTTGCTTAGCAGTTCTTCTTCCTTTTTTTTTTTTTTACAATATTTTTATTTATTTATCTGGTTGCAGCAGGTCTTACTTATGGCACCCAGGATCTTCGATCTTCCTTGCAGCATGTGAAATCTTTAGTTGTGGCATGTGAACTCTTAGTTGTGATATGTGGTATCTAGTTCCCTGACCAAAGTTGAACCTGGGCCCCCTGCATTGAAAGTGTGGCATCTTAGCCACTGGACCACCAGAGAACTCCTTTATTATTGTTTTTTGTTTGTTTGTTTTTTTACTGTGGCAAAATACACATAACATAATTTTTAACCATTTTTAACTGTTTGAAGCAATTCCATGGCAGTAATATATTTGCATTATTGGGCAACCATCAACACTGTCTGTCTCCAGAATTCTTTGATCATCCCAAACTGAAACTAAACAGTAACTCTTCACTCTCCTCTTCTTCCATAACCAATCTTTATATTATTTATGCTTGTCTGTATTTTTAAAGATAGACCAGACCTTTGATTTTTATGTCAGATCATAATAGATATTCTAAAAATATTTTATTTTGAAGTAATTTTAGATTTATAGAAATGTCACAAAAATACCCTTTACCTAGCTTTCCTAATTTAACACCTTATACTTATTATAGCACAATAATCAAAACCAGGAAATTAACATTGATACAATAATATTAATTCAGCCAGTGTTTGACAAACTACACCTGAGGGCTAAATCTAACTTTCATGTTTTTATAAATAGTTTTATTGGTACACTGTCATACTTACTCAGTTATTGCTTTCATGTGTTTACAGTGGCAAAGCTACATTGACCTTATAGCCGACAAAGTTGAAAATACCGTCAGATCTCTGACCTCTGATGAAAACTGTAGATTTTATTTGGTTATCATTATTTTTCCCACTTGTGTTCTTTTTCCACTTTGGAATCCAGTCTAGGATCCCACATTGCATTCAGTTGTCTCCTTAATCTACTCCAGTCTGTGACAGTTCCTTTGTCTTTTCTTTCATGACCTTGACACTTTTGAGGAATATTGATCAGATATTTTCTAGAACGTCGATCTGTATGTATTTGTCTAGTGTTTTCTTGTGGTTAGATTTAGGTTATTAGACATTGTGACAAGAATACTGCAAAAGTTCTATTGAATCCGTCTTGGTGTGTTGTACTGAGTGTGTATGATGACAGTATGTTTCTTATTATTGGTATTGTTAACCTGATTAAGTTACTGAAGTTGGTATCTGCTGAGTTTTTCTACTGTTAAAAAAAACCCTATTTTTTTGTTCATATTTAATAAATATCTTGTGGAGAGATACTTTGAGACAATGCAGATATTCCATTTCTCATCATACTTCTACCCACTAATTTTAGCATCCAACTGCCTAAGCAGTTTTTACTGTGTTGTATGTTTAAGTGGTGATTTCCAATTTCTTTCATTACTTCTAGGAAGAGTTGTTTCCCCCTATTTATCTGTTTATCACATTACTTATATTAATATGGACATATAGATGTTTTATTTTATTCTATGAGTTACAATCCACGTTTTCATTTTATTGCTCAGATTGTTCCAGCTTTGATTGCTGGGAGCTTCTTCAAGTTGCGTCATCTATCCATTGAATATATCCCCATGTTTTTGAGCACTGCTTTACTTTCTGGTACTAGTCCAGGCTTATCTTGTATTTTCCCTGCCTGACTTCCTCTGACCAGAAAAAGACAGGTATTCTTCTGGGGTTTTAGATGCCTGTGTCTTAGTGGCAATTTTGGTACAGAAAAATAAAATTTTGGAGAGAAAAAATAAAATTGGGTATTCATCTTATTTTCTTGTGATTGGCAGGACTCAGCTGCCTTTTCCCAGTTCTGTGGCTAGAAATGAGGTTCTCCTAGAGTTTTGTAGTCAGTACCCTTGCATAATTTGCAATTCAGCTGGCCTTCCTGTCGAAACCAGGAAAGGAGTGGGGAAAAAAACCCCATGACATTCATCCTCCCACACAATTTTATCAGGATCATTATTTAAGTTTTGATTTCAGTCCCCAATCTGCCTTCTCTTATTCCCTTTGCAGAGTCCTTAGGTTGCTTATTTATGTATTCTGTCCATAGTTTTTAGTTGTTATAAGTGGCAGAGTGTGTAATCACCCTTAATCCACCTTAGCCAGCCTACTTAGCTTGCTTAAAATAACTAGAATTCTTGTATTGACTGATAATTTTTCATTTTGTCAGTTTACATACAGTTAATATATTTTAATGTAGAATCATAACCATTCTTGGTTTTCATTTGGATTTTTATAAATACCAATTGAGTCATTAACTGGTCTAATCTGTATGATGTCATATGTACTAGAGATATTATTCTCATAATACTCTTAGATGTTAATGTGATGTTATTGACAAAGGGAATTGAATTTCTATTGGAAAGCATTTAATAACCTTTAATATTTTTTATTCAAGTGAGTAGTGAAGATTCTGAAGATTCTGATTTTCAGGAATCTGGAGTTAGTGAAGAAGTTAGTGAATCTGAAGATGAACAACGGCCCAGAACAAGGTAAGATTATTTTTTTAAAAATTTTAAGAATTAATAACCATGCTTCAAATTATTTGTAGAAAGTTTGCTGTTGTTAATAGTGATAGTCACTCAGTCATGTCAGACTCTTTGAGACCCCATGAACTGTAGCCCACCATGCTCCTCTGTCCATGAGATTCTCCAGACAACAATACTGGAGTGGGTTGCCATTCCATTCTCCAGGGGATCTTCCTCACCCAGGGACCGAACCTGGGTCTCCTGCATTGCAGGTGGATCCTTTATCGTCTGAGCCACCAGGGCATAGCAGTAAGTAAAATATTTAACATTTTGATTTGAAACTGTTAAAATCATTTAGAAATAATATATAAACATTATATATAGTTGAATTTTATGTTCTGAAGTAGGTGGACTTTCAGTGTGCAAAAACACCTTTTAAAAAAAAATTATTATATATTTGGCTGTATCAGGTCTTAGTTGCCGCATGCAGGATCTTCATTGCAGCATGCGAGATCTTTCCTTGCAATGTGCACAGGCGTCTCTTTAGTTATAACACATGAGCTGTAGAATGCACGGGCTCAGTAGTTGCCCTGTGGCATATGGGATCTTAGTTTCCTGATCAGGGACTGAACCCATGTTTCCTCCAGCCCCTGCCATTGGAAAGCAGATTCTTAATCACTGGACCACCATGGAACTGTGATTTTTCATTTCTGTGGTGGAAAATTGTAGTGTAGTAGTTATGAGGCTCTGTAGACCAACTGCCTCAATCTTAACTCCTAGCTTTACTATACTTCCTATTTGTACGAATACTCTGTGGTTCAGTTTCCTCATCTGTAAAAGAGGAAATTAACATTATTATTTTCCTTATTGATTATTGTGGGCATTAAATGAGATTAAAGGGCTTATAAAATAGTGCCTATTTTGTAGATAGTAAGTGCTCCATGAATGCTAAGTATTGTTTTTTCATAGCATTACTAAACACAACTTAGCCACGGAACAAAAACAACACTACTAGTATTCTATTAATTAACATGTGTTTGTTCTTTCAATATGCATAGATAACTCATCTAGATTACTAGCTGATTAAAATTTTGCTTCCTTATTATCATAGTATTTAATAATACTGACCATTCTAAGAAGATTTTTATTTCCTCTGGAATAATATGATACATATATCAATTTGTGTTTGTGTGTATGTGTATATGTAAATCTATATGGGTATTTGCATGTGTAAATTTTAAAATATTTGCGATTGTTTTAGATTAATAATTACCAGGTTGTGCCTGGAGTATATCAGAATATTGTACTTTTAGTTCAGTTCAGTCACTCAGTCGTGTCCAACTCTTTGCAACCCCATGAGCCACAGCACACCAGGCCTCCCTGTCGATCACCAACTCCCAGAGTCCACCCAAACCCATGTCCATCGAGTCAGTGATGCCATCCAGCCATCTCATCCTCTGTCGTCCCCTTCTCCTCCTGCCCCCAATCCCTCCCAGCATCAGGGTCTTTTCCAATGAGTCAACTCTTCGCATGAGGTGGCCAAAGTATTGGAGTTTCAGCTT